CTGAGCTTGCCTGAGAAGGACTAAATGCACAAAGCTGCTATTTTTAAATATCCCATGGAGAGAGACTCTCACTGCAGCCTGTTCTATTTTGTTGTGAAAATGTGGGCGTGCAGCCTCGTTCTGTGGACGATAAACCAGGTGCAGACTTCCATCTGTGTCACCGCTGATGAGGAAATACAGCGAGTGCTGGACGGAGCAGTGAGTGACAACAACCCCGCCCACATTTAAGAGGACTGTCTGAACAGACCGAGGGTCTAGGTACCATGTCTGAAGGGTTACTGCTGGTTCCACAGGTGCTGGACTGAAAGGGTTTGGTGGGAACAGGGCCATAGGAAGGTTCTCAGAGCAACTGTGAGCAAGAACCGGACAGAACCTTTACCTTGGTGAGGAGGTGTGGTTGACCCTGTTGCTAGATATGATTCATTCTTTTAACAGATGTGATCGTCACCATGGTAACATAATTTCTACCTGTATGCCTCTCAGGTAGCAGCTACTACATGCTGCTGACAGGACTACGACAACAAGCTCTGAGGACACTGATATTTTAACAGAGGTCAGTGTGTATTGAATGGATGGATGCCTCAGATGCACTTAAACACAACTAACTCTTCAGACTTTGTGATATTTTTGGGATTATTTTGGGTAATAAAATACTGTAGATAAAAACCATCAAACACTGTAAAGAGATCACTTTATAAATAAGGCTTAAAGGCATTAAAGGTGAATTCTAAGGATCTAAAGGATGATTTGTTTTAAACAAACTTAATTCAGTGTGAAGCATCTCTCATAGTTCAATGTACTTTCTTCTTTATTATATATTTAAAAGCATCATAAATGTAAATTCACCTCCTGAGCCCGAAATATTTACCTTTGATTTCCCCTTAAGTAGATGTAAAGTTAGAATTATTGTCCACATTATGTCGATATAATACAAACAGTATACATTATTCTGTTGCAGCAGCTCCTCACTGAAGCTTTGTGATGTTTACACTGAGTGAAATATTAAAACCCACGGCTATTTTTAATGTTATTATTCCACCAAATGGAAATAATCTAGATGTCCTCTGCTCTGCATCTTTTTACTAATTGGAACTAAGGGAACCAAACCAGACAAAAAACCTTACCTACAACACAATAAAGGCACTTCACACTTTTGGCCCCACTGTTCATCCTCTCACTGAGAACACACAGGCAGTCTGCTGTGAACCTGTCTCACCAAACTGTCACCATCACTCCTCAGTAAATGACACATTGTGCTGTAAAGCTTATAGACATCTGTTTAAGCTCCTGCTCATTCAGACTAAAGGGCAGACAGAGTCTATTCATGCTGCCACAGTGAGCTGATACCAGATTCAGACTGAAGGGTGTGGAAGGTACGGAGGCTGTATGTGGACAAAAAGTCTCCTGCAACATGGACAAAATGCTGGTCTGTGACTCAGCTGCTCCACCACTTTGGTCCGGTGAAATATCTCAACAACTGTTTGCTGGATTACCATATGGTTGGTACATGCATGTTCCCCAGAGGATAAATCCCACTGACTGTTCCTCTACCGCCACAACAAGGATGAAATCTAAGTTATTTTTCTTTCTGCTTTGTTGTCAAATGTCTCAAAAACTTCTGGATGAAATTTGGTGTTTCATGTCTCTGAGTAAAACATCTCAACAACTGTCGCATGGGTTGTGATGAAATTTGATTCAGACATTCATCCAGAATTTGCATCTAAAAATGACCTTAAGGGCCGTCCACACCAAGAACTATAACTATAAATATAACTATAAATATACAGTTTTAAAAATCGTTCTAAACTCAAGTGGAAGGCAGCGTCCACACTACAACTATAATGACAACGATAGCGGTGGACGATATCGTTCAGATCACTTTCAGAGCGATTTGATGAACAATAGAAACACTGACAGCCAATCAAAATCCATCCGAAATGACAGGTTGATATGTTCATCGCGTCACTACGTCACTCAGACTCATTCAACATGGCGGACGATGTAGGAGACTTTATAAAGATGCATCCAAGAAGAGTGACATCTGGGACGCAATCAGGCGCACCCTTGGCATAAGTGGTGAGTGTTTTTGTTCACGGAGATAAGACGTTTATGAATAGCCAACGCTAGCTGTTATGCTAACTAGCATTACCTCACGTAGCTAAACATGAATGACAACAACTGTCTCGCCTCCTTATGATTATTATCACCACCGTTCACAGACCAAAATTAGCACCATTTAACATTACCAGCTGAATGCTGGTGAAATATGCAAGTGGCTGGTAGATTTGCTGCACTCATCCCTCCCCTGCCGACCGCACCGAGCAGTGCGTGTTTGGCGTAACCTAGCAACACAACGATATCGTTCATTGGTGTGGATGCTGCCATTGTTATTGTTATAGTTAACGTTACAGTTATCTTTCTGGGTGTGGACGGCCCTTAAGTCAACATCATTTCTCTTAAACAAAATGAATGCAGATCAGAGAACACTACATTAAAAATTCACAGACAAAACAACCGTCTTATACTAGACACCTTTTTTCCCCACATATACAACATGCTAACGTTATTAGCCTACGACCCTGTACTAGGATTAGCGGTTACATATAATGAATGAATGCATGAATGAATAATGTTATTAGCATTAGCCTATGAAATTTTTGAATGCATGTATCAGTCTGACTTTTCCTGTACTCATATGAAGCCAGGATAAATCACATGCTGGACCAGAAATGACATTGTGTTGAGACTTTATTGTTTCTTATCTGTGAAATTAAAGCAAATACAGTTTCCACTGAGGGAAATCGTTTTCAGTTCACAGAAATAAACAGGACGTCTGTGTTGCTGTGACGTGTAGTTACATTTCTGGGCAGGTGCACGTCAGGCTACGGTACAGGCTACGTGTTCATGCAGAGCCTACGCTGTTGCTTTATGAAGAACGAAATGAAGCTCAGAGTCTACAGCTCGTCCTCAGACTTCATACATTTCCTTTCTACTTTGCCAGATGTTTCTTGGGTCCAGCATCTGCTTTATTAGACACTGGGTTGCTCGTGTCTGAGAGGAAACTAACACACCATTTAACATTTTACATAAATTTACATTTTTAAGAGAGTCAGTAGGACAATAAATGGTAAAATATACAGTTTTATTTATCTGACAGCCTGTGTATGGACACACCACTTATAGTGAAAGGTCAAAGGTCACAAACACATCCTGTGACACCAGGATGATCAGAGGACACGTGCCATATGACCGCTTTTATTAAATCTCTAGTGTTTGTTTACTATGTCGAGCTCTCCTCAGTGCCATCACTTCCTCTGATCCAGAGAGATCAAATAAACTGTGTGTGTGTGTGTGTGTGTGTGTGTGTTTATATTCACATGCAAATCCTAAAATGAGACTGAAGCGGGTAAAATAGGATTCATGTGATTCTGCAGAGAAGGACGACATCGTTTCCCTTAATTATATTCTGAAAGGAGACATGAGAGTGTGAACTGCTCTGAAGTAACACAGCACTGCACTGCAAGGATCAGGGACACACACACACACACACACACACACACACACAAATCCTGTGAACACTATAAACACATCACCAAGTCTTCACCTCTCTCAGACTCTTCCTTTCAGCAGGAGGTGTGGCAAACATTAATCTCCTGGTCTATTCTCAGTTAGCAGCTAACTCGTGCACATACTGAACGTACCACTGAACTACACTCTACCTTCCTCTCACTCCACAGCAGGTGTGTGTTTTCGTTGCAACAAAATAAACAAAGTGTCACTCAGAGCAGCATCTAAACAAACACAGAGCCTTTACGCCGCCGGAATCACTCAACACCAGAACTTCCTGTCTCGCTGACTGACAGGACGATACTCTCATCTTGTAAACACACAGGTGAACTGTCAGAGCATTTTAACGTCTTAGCAGTGAAGTCACTTTTCATTTTGTACATTAACTGCTCCTCGTTACTCACCTGCGTACGACCACTCGATGTCCTCTGAGAACTTGCGTTGGTTCCTGTATCCATATCCTCCAACTGCAAGAGAGACAAAAGAGATGACCATTGAAGAGATTTATTCATGTGCTTTATTCATTACTGAAGCCATCTTTGTCTCTGTTAGCACCGCTAACATTCAGCCAACAGTCATGAAACACAGAGAACTTAAAATGAACCTGACACATTACATCTTTGGTTTCTGTAAGGTCATTAACAGTTTTACAGAATAAATGTAGCGAGACAAATGACCTTTAAATTCCTGAGCCGACAGGTTCATCAGTGGGTTGGACGTTAATGGTTTTTTATGGTTTAGCTGTTGGTGTGTTGTTACTGGTTTAATTTGATTTGCAGCCCGACATCAAGTCACTGAACAGCTTCCAAACAAAACCAAAAACACCAACAATACTCTGAACTCTTCTGAGCTGCAGAGGATTACAGCTTTAAAAAATGTGACATTATTTGTCATGTTGAGTTTTTATTTGTTTCATATAAACCTGCTTTGTGTTTGTTTTACAGCTCTGAAAATCAGAGACAACTTCCTACCTCCTCATCTGAATCATTACATGACTTTTGTATGTGCGCAGCCTCCAGCATTACTCAGCCCCGAGGGGTTCCCTAAATCACAAGTACACAACTTGTTTTTCTTTTGTTGCTGTATTTCTGTCATTTTGTTTTGTGCAAATAAACCTGAATTCCAGATGTGCTTCATTTCTAGGTTACTGACTTGCTTTTAAACTCTGCCTTCAACATGTGGGTCAGCGAGTAACTGGCATTTGGGTGACAAATCTCGCTCCATATTTGTGCCAGGTTGGGCTGCAAGTCAAACCCATAAAATTCCACTATTGTAGACACCCTTCAATATAAAGACATCCAGAACAACAGCAGCACTAATAAAACTCAACACTGTATTCTTCAGACACAGGATTCTAGTGACGGCTCAGTGAAGTTACTTTGAAAGCTCTGCAAACTACAAATGACTTCAAACTGGGAGATGTTGAACTACAGCAAAGCTTCCTCAGGAGAAATTTAGTTTGATTTACTAAAAAGTAGTTCAAATTACTGACAATGTTCATGTGGTGCAAAATTCTAACAAAATATAATTAATAATTATTAAATAATATTTAATAAAAAAAGAAACATCAGCAAAAAAAACAAACAAACCAAAAAACACTAAATTGAGTTTTGAGCAAAAAATGCCGACTTGTCTGCAGGTCATAAACCAAAAATAATTAAATAAAAACCTCACTAATCATGGGAAAAGTGCAGGAATGTCGACTTTGGTTTTATTATTTATTTATTATTATTTAAAAAGAAAAAGTGTCACTGAAAAATAAAAAACAGGCAGAAAATGCTTTTTTTTTTATTTATTTATTATTTGTTTGCATTCTGACGTGGTGTTCAATCTTCAGATTTTTATTTAATGTCACTCTTTTTTCAGTGTCAGTTCTGTTTTTAGATAAATACTTTATTTTCATTGCATATTAAACACAACAAAATTAGGGTGGCAGTATCCACTCCATTTAGCAACATGAATAAATTAATGTACTACTGTACATGTAAAACGCCACAAAAATACAAATAATATTTATTTGTATTTTTGTGGCACTTTTTTTGCACCAAATCACTAACAAAAACTTGAAACTGAAAATAGAGATTGAAAAAAGACGTGTCATTGTAATGACAATGTCAATGTAAAAAAAAAAAAAAAATACACTTAAAAAGAGTGATATAAAAAATCTAAAGCTTGTCATGAAAAAAACCCACATCATAATACAAAAATATCAAACTAAAATAAAGTTAAACATTTTTAATCCCTATGTTTTATACTTAAGTGGATTTTTTTTCAATGCTGAATTTAATTTTAGTGCTAAAAAGATTTGTTCATAAATAAATAGAAATAGAAATGATCAATACTTAGGATTAATTGTGATCAGAGTAGGTTCAGTTACAGTAGAGATGCAATGGTAAAATAAAATTTAAAAAAAATTATCTCTTTAGTGGCCCATAATAAGTTGTAGTTTCATTAATGAACTACACACACACACACACACACAAAGAATAAGTAAATAAACAAAGTATGTAAAAATCTCTTAAATCACAATACAAATATGAATGTAGTTTCACAACCAGCAAGCTACTGCGAAATGTATTACATGTATTTTACTGTGCAACAACACTGTGTACGCTGATGCATTAGACTGCAAGAACAAAACTGCACAGATGGATGGTGCACATATCCAACCTCAGGTGTGTGCAGGTGCAGGAGAGAAGCAGCAGACAGAAGGAACATGAGAGGTGATAGTAAAGTTTCCACCTCAGGAAAAAAAAAACAGAGCAAGAATTCATGTTACTTTGGTTCAGACTGAAAAATCTCAACAGCTGCTAGATCGAAAAATAGATTTCAGTTTGTCCAGTTCTTTGCTTTGTGGTTAAAAACCTGCTCAACACAGTTCTGCTGTGTTGCCTCTTGTGTTTCGCACATTGTGACCCCACTTTGTTTAAGTAACACTGTGTAGCATTAGCTTTAGCATTAGCAGCTGAGTCAACATGGTAAGCCAGTGTTGGCTAACAGTGAAATCATTTCAGCCACCTGTGCAAGTTAACAGTGATCACAATCTGCTGTAAGAAACACCATCAAGAGTCTCAAAGTTAAAGATGGCCGACGCTACCATACAAGGTGCCACCTGCTACTTAGCAACTGGTTTGTCTCCTTGTTTTGGAGAGGAAGAGCCCTCTGCAGAAAACCTCCTGAACACTGGAGGAATTCCAACGAGGAGAACTTTCAGCTGGTTACAATCTGCAGTCTTCACCACTGTATGCCATTAATCCTCTTAAATCTTACACAAACTAACCTTTAAATGCTTTTTGGGGCGTTTTAATGCTTCTTTAGGGAGTCGCAAATAAAGAGATGGCAGGAAATGAAGGGAGAGAGCGATGAGGAACGACATGTAACTAAGAGCTCAGCTGGACTGGAACCAGGGATGTTGTGTTTTATGTTCAGCGCGTTAACTCATAAGTCACCAGTGTGCCCCTCAGAGGGGGATATATTTGGGGTTTTTTTTCCCCGTATATTTTTTATTTTATTTATAAGTTTAAGGGTATTTACAGAAAATCATATTCAGAAAATTTCATAACCCTTCCCCACCCCCCCAACCCCTCACATATCAACAGGAAGGGTACAATTATCAAAACAAACAATTAAAATAAATAGATAACTACATATCTACACAAACATCTGCATGTATATGCACCCATACACATATATACACATACATGCACATATGCATACACATATACACATACACAAAACAAAAAACAAAAACAGAGAAAAAAAAAAAAAAAACCTAAGTCAAATTTCATTTACAAAGTTTTTCAGAAATTTTCAAGATTCATCGTCTTAGAAAGAATTCAGTCCGCCTCATTCTTTGTGCATGAAAGCAAGAAAATCGCCCCATACCTCATCAAAGGCTTTTGGGTTCTTCTTCAAATTGTACATTATTTTTTCGGGTGGAATATAAGATGAAAGCTCATTCAGCCACATATTAGAGCACGGAGATGCAACACTTTTCCATTTTAATGCAATACACTTACTTGCAGCTATCAAGGCCATTTTAACAAATCTGATATTATATTCAGTACCTAAAGGTAATATGGATTCATCTCCCAGTAATACTAACCTTGGATTTAAAGCAAACTCAAAACCAATCACTTTTTCAATGGTATTTTTTACAGTTTTCCAAAACTCGTTCAAATGGGAGCATGACCAAAACATATGGACAAGAGACCCAATCTCTATTTTGCATCTAGGGCACAGAGCCGAAAGATCGGGATTCATTTTATTTAAATGCTGTGGTGTGTAATATACTCGATGAATCAAATTAAATTGTTGCAGTCTATGACGACTGTTAAATCAAAATATCTGGCTCTTTCATCCTTAAATTCAGCACCAAGGTCTTGCTCCCATTTAAGCTTTGCCCCTACTGGACCACGAATAGAAAACTTCAATAACATTTTGTACATAATTGAAACAAATTTCTTTACATCTTTACCCACGATATTGGTGTCCACTTCCAAAGGGTGTAAAGACAGTAATTTACCTCCTTGCTGAACTCTAATATAATCTCTAACCTGTAGGTGCTTAAAATAATGCTTGGGATCCAGATGGAATTTTGACCTTAATTGTTCAAAGGATAGTAGCGCCCCACTATCAAATAGGTCACCAAATGTCCGAATACCTTTACTATACCATAACGAGCAGGATTCATCTTTTAGTATCTCAGGTAGAGCAGGGTTAGCATAGAAGGGGGTAGCTGTAAAGATCGATTGAAGGTTTTCAGTCTTTTTCCTAATATCTGACCAAATTTTGCACCCATGTAAAACAAAAGGGTTGTTTAAAATTCTTTTGAAAGTATATACAAAAGGAATATATGGAAGGCTAGAAAGATTAATGTCAGCTAATTGATATTGCTCAATTTGTAACCACGACGGAGGGTTCTGTCTATTTGTTTGCCAGGCCCATATGACCATTGATTGTGCCGCTAAGTAATATAAATACAAATCAGGGAGACCAAGTCCTCCCTCACCTGGGCTCAAACAGAGGACTTTCAGTTTTATTCTAGCCAACTTTCCCCGCCATAGAAATTTAGTTATCAAACTATTTAGACGCTTAAAGAAAGACTGAGGGACATGGAAAGGAAAAGTCCTAAATAGATATAAAAACCTAGGGAGTACACTCAGAGGGGGATATTTAAGGGCATGTTTAGCTGCCTGACAGGAGCACCAACCTGTCACAACACCTGAGCTCAGCCCAAATTCAAAGTAACAATGGCCATTTTTCTGCCCAGTCTACCATAATGATGTCTGATCCGCAGCACACCAACCTCCCTACCTTCCTCTTGACCTTGCTGACCAACCTGCTTCACTCCGACTCGATGTATATAATGAGCTCCTGCACGGTGACATCATTAACCCAAGCGGCTGTCCAGGCATCTGTCACATTAATGAAGTGGAGTCGACGCCCCGAGGGGCCGTTAGAGAAC